GGATTTTATGCACTAATTACTGCTCCTGTCCACCCAACGAACTTTCAGCAAACCAAAGATTGCCCACAAGCTCATACTACTTTCATGCTATGGCAACCACTCCTCACGCGCTTTGTTATCCATCCCATCTCGTTATGCATCATAATTGCCATATTCCATCCCGGCAAGGCACCTTCAATTGCCAATCACCCCAAAACAGAATTGCCGCATCACTTCCCATCGGCACATTGGCATGCCAATCAATCACTTAATGAAATGATGTGATTGCCGCGGCCACTCATCCATCCACGATATTTCGAGCACACGGCCACTACAGACCATGTTTTACTAAGGCTGTTACTTCGCCAAGACCTGGAGAAGACGTAGACCCAAACATACACCTCAGTACAAAAGACATACCTCACCAGTCCGCAGCAAAACAGCACCCCACGATCTGTTCATCGCTCCATAAAACCATACGGTTTCCATCCATATGCGGCAATGTCAACAAGTTGCTGTTACTTTAGAAGTCAAAAGACCATATGTTGACCATGGATTTTACTAAGCCATGGCCTTACAGCCTGACTAAGTCGCGCATACTTACTCTATTTATAATTTTGTACTTGTAGTATAAAAACTAGCTAGAAAAACATCGTTTAGGGAGCTTACCAGGGAGCATAGATCGCAGCTTACCCCTACCATCGAGTCTACGCTACCTTTATTACCGTTCTATGGCAATACACCGTTTACCCCAGTATATTCTCGAGTGCACATCAATTCTCAAGCTCACCAGAGTTATTCCACGGTTTTTGACTGTGAAGAGTCACTTGACACTCACTCTTCGCTCTTGACACTATTGGTACATGCTCATATTGTGCCAATATGTGATTGCCGTGCCATACCTCGCCCACGTTTATCTTTTATTAGCCGTTATCGTTTCAACTTCACCAGTATAGGATTGTTTCATGTTTTCACCTTCACCATCATATCGTCGCCCACTTGGGTAGTCTCCGAGTAGACTTAGGATCGTTTTCGCATCAGTATAGGACCAGTTTCAGTATAGTTTTCATATAGGACAGTCCCAAGAGTGGACTTGAAGGTTAGTTTTGACATAGGATAGGATCGCTTCAGCACAAGACCAGTTTCGACATCGACATCAGTATTTCCGTATCGTTTAGGACCAGTACCCTGCCATCACCAGTATATTTCCGTTCTCGCTCACTCATCGCCAATTTCCGTAATTCCACGTTTATTTCGACGCTCCGCACTCAGTACTCCGTTTCATGCTTCCCCCACCGCTCTCAGACATAGTTCCACATTTTCTCATTGATTCCCCACTCCCAGACTCAGTTTCACGCATCTATTACCATTCTCCTCGCTCGCTTCGCTAGGATTGCCGTCTAGTGATGTTTTCTAGTCTTTTCTCACGTTATCGCTTATGGTTTCGTGGTATTCACGTCATACCCTTTACCGTCCCCTCCTGTTTCAAGAGATCCCTACCGGCTTACAGCCAAAGCTTCTAGTACTCAACTACCAAGCAGTACTACTTCGCTGACTGAAAAGTCACAGTGTATACTTGCGTATAGAGGAATTGATTGACTGCACGGAGGTGCCCCGAACCCACTCACACACACGATCGCCTTGATTGCCGTGTAACCACATTAATTTCCCAATCTCGTTCCTGAGTTGGTGTTGCCATTGCCATGGAAGTCTAGGCTCATCAGTGTGACTGGCAGTTTGTCACTGCCAGTATTGAGTGGTTGTCTCACTCTCCAATCGTGGGTGACCTGCACGCTGGTAGAACTCGGTAATGGTTCTGTCGCACACGATGGTCCACTCGATCTCGTTGTTGCGTGCGACGAGTTGTGTGAGCTCTTCTGCTGCTGTAGTTTCGCGATTTGCTGTAGCAGCTCGTCGTAGGTCGGGAGAGGGGGTGATACTTCCGGGGAGTGTGGAAGAGTCAGGGCGAGGGGTGTCATCACGGATGGGGGGTGACCAGGTGCCGTGTCGAGGGAGTCTGTCATGGTGTACAACAAGGTGGTTCTCTTGGAGCCAGGCACTGTATTCTGAGGTGGTGGGGGAGTGGGGTCTGTAGTCGTCATCACTGGTCTCTCCGTGAGACTGGATGATGACAGGGATTCCAATTTCTCAGAGGGGGAACTCGGGACTGGAGAAGGGGGAGATGGTGGACCTTGGGGAATGGATTGAAGGGATGACTTTGATTTCTTCTGGAAGGTTGGGAAGCGAAGTTGACGATGTTTCTTCTGGGAGGTTGAGGGAAGGGAATCTGGTAGGCTGAGGTGCGAGGATTGAGGGGAGAGTCTCCCAGTCTCCTGCTCCTGCGACATACTGTTCGAGAGCGACGGTGGAATGGGTGGTGAATTGGTATGGGTGATGGAAGAAGGCGCCGCTCGGGTGTTGGTAGGTTCGGGGGACGTAGGTAAAGAGTCGGTGTATGTACTGCTTGATCTCATACCGATACGTTCGGTATATGAGAAAGATGGTGAGGGCACTGGTAAGGCTAAGCGCGGTGACGGCTATAGCGATAAGAGTGTGGGTAGAGAAGTCGGTGGTGAATTGCATTCGGTTTAGTTCAACGTATGAGTGTTGAGAAGAAAGGGAATGTAGATAGCTTCAAGCTAATTGTTAGACCCAGACTCCAGTAAAACAAACAAGACTAAACAGAGGGCTGTATCGCATTTGTACAGTCACCCAATGAGTGTCAAAGTCTGCCAATGGTAGTTCAGAGGTAAAACACTTAGTTGTCTAGGCGAGGAGTGAGTCTGAGAGTAAGTTCGATGTATTGAAACTTTAGCTCAAAGCTGGAGAATATACAGCGAGAGCTACACTACTTATATACTGTTTTTGTATGTACTATTATTGTAACTGTCCTTCGGTACCTGTGAGATACTTGGGGAGTAAGGGGAACACAGATGGTGTAGAGTCGTGTGTTTGTGGAGCTCTGTGGATTTGATATGTGATGGTGCACTTTGGAGTTCGGTGTTGGTGGATATGTAACCGTGGTGCTTTGGATAAGCGTCAAGATTAGATGCGATAAGATCCAGATAAGATCAGTGCTGATAAGATAAGAAAAATGGAAAAATCGTAACAGGAACATGGCAATTATGATGTGTAACAAGATGGGATGGATATAGAGTGTTGAAGGAGTATGGAGATCATGGTTTTAGGATTGTATCTGGATGTGTGTGGCATATAATGTGAAAATCTGTGGTATTATTGAGAGTTGCCAGTATTATAGAGTATGTGGGGATTAAAATGGAGCTGTTTTGAAGATATTGGGTGATGGATGGATAAATCTGCGAATTCTGAGCATACAGAGCCTGGAGGCTCATCACCGATAGGTGTTTCCAGTACTAGTATCATTACTGGCATGGCAAATCTCAAGGCTGAAGTGATTTTAAATATGTGACACCTTCGCAAGATAGAAATAGAGGAATGAACATCTTTTGTGTAAGTGCCAACACTTGTTTTTCCATGACTTTGCCCTTGAAAGCCTGCTTAACAGAGACCACTGCCGCAACAAGCTCACCAAGGCATGTATCTGGGAGACCTATAGCAGCCATCTTAGTGAGCCTGGAATAGTTGTATAATGCATTGTCGATTAAGATGGAAGACTACAGTGACAGTCTGAGCTAGAGTTATGGGATGACAATACTCACTCACAAAACTTTCGCTGCTGTGGACGATGATCTTGGAATATTGGTGTATTTCATGCTCTTTGGCATCGGAATTCAGGGTCTGGAATGATAGATCAGATGAGCTCACGTGACAGGTCCGCTTGGACACACCATGCATTCCTTTCAATTGCAGAGTCCGGGAAAGGATGTGGATGGAAGGTAGGAAGAGGCATGTCATGCATCATGAGTTAACCGGTAACTAGGTATCTGATTTTCAGTCCGACTCTGGAGCACACATAGATCTCTTTCCTCTCTACTTCCACCATCGGTCATTCCCTTTCACGATCCCCACTGCCTACGTAACAACTAGCCTGACATTCGCTATGAAGCAAGATCACGGAGATATACTTTGAAGTACGCGTGTCACAGGATGGCAGAGAAGGAGAGAGGATCGGTTGATGACAGTTTGACTTGCTTTGGGTTATGCTGAACAAGTCTTCAACCTTGATCATCTTGTTGCTGGGCATTGAGCTTGATGGTGAGCTTGATTTCTTTTCTTTCTCTTGATTATTTTCTGATCGTATATGCATAGCTCCTATGGCCATTACAACTGCCAGCACCAATCTCGATGGCAGTGGATGAGTCTTGGTTTTTTTGATGGTGTGTGCTAGCAAGAAACTAATCATCTGATAACAGGATCCAGGGTGCATAGACTAACTCCTTATCTTTTTTCTTTTACTGATATTGTTCCCTGTTTTCCAGAGGGTCTGTCCTTTGATTTCCCTGAGCCCCTTGAATATGCAGATGTCCCCTCAGATTTCAGTAACCACATCAAAGGGTATCAACCCTGATGAGGCTGTTGATACCAATCTCGACAGCGTTGGATGTATCTTTCTTCTTTACAATGCACATGCTAGCAGGGAGGGAATTAATCAAGGTAAGCCGTTCCCATCCCATTCTTCTAAGATTTTGCTGATGACACTCTTGGTAGTGTACTCAATGAAGCTGTACTTAAAGAGATTTTTTTTGATTAGGAGGTCCAAGCCTCCAAGGTGTGTGTACCAACTATTTACCTTTTTTCTTTGGTTGAGTTCCTTCCCTCTTTGCTAAAGCCTCTACACTTATCCCCTGGAATCTCAGATCTCACTGATGCTGCCTCCACAGAGGCGAGGATCTGATTGTTATGCTCTCGATGGGCATGGATCATGAGAGATCACCTATGGCTGCTACCTTGATACATGAATCAATGTCAGTTGACATATTTAATTCATGCATCCAGAGTGTCAGTGGACAGACCAACCTATATAGGGTAATTTTGCAGTATTGCATGGCATATTAGTTAGCACAGAAACCCAGACCAAATCATGTGATTATTAGAAAATCCAGCAGTTCTAGAAATTGAACCTAAGATCTTAAAAAGATTTTTAATAATATCGCATAACATAACCCAAGTGCATATGCTAACCACTATACCATACTGGCATTATATATTTATGTAATCATTTTCCTTTATAGCCTCTCTCTCTTATATTTATAATATCCCAATTGGGATATTATAAATATAAGAGAGGGATAGTGTTTTGATGACTTGGATTGGCTCAGCTCAGCGTGGCTTTGTTTGGCTGCAGCATTAAACTGGCTCTGAATCCATTTTTTATCATCGGCGCCACTTACAAGTTGAGTGAGTCTGACAAAGCCAGCCACGTTAATAGATTGGATCCGAAAAAGGAAGTTCAAACATTTTACAACTACAGCAGCTCCTGTACTTGGAGACTGCGAGCATAAGTAGAGATATCAGTAGGAATAACAACACTATCATGTGTGAGTGTCTCCAGTCGCTCCAATTCAGCTTCAAGACTGAGACTCTCAGTGAAATTGAGACCGCCACCCGAGCGTATTGCAAATTTGAGAATCTGCAGAGCTTCCATCATTTCCAGAGAGTCGACTTCGGCACAAGGTATCTGTCTCTTTACTAGAGGAAAAAACGCGTTCACATGGGACGGAAGTGCCTTGAATGGGTAAGATGTCCATAGCTAACTGATAAATTGTTGGATATTGTGCTTGACGTTCCTATTAATGATGTAACACATTTAAGTTCAACAACGTAATACTGATTAGAAAAATATGTACTTGCCAGTACATCAGAGTTGTCGTAGCAGTGGACTGGTCCATCAAATAAAGATCCACTTCATGCTCCACAGACGAGATTTCAGATGTGTGGGACATGTGTGATTACCCCGCCATACCAGGCATTCTTAAGGCATGAAAAGCCCATGCAACTTTGTCTGGTCGCTCAGACAATGATGTTGCTGCCACATGCTCAGGCACCCTGGAGGAATCATCTCAGGGCCAATAGGCACAGACCTAACATACAAGCCTATAAGGACCAGATACTGAAATTGATGCAAGTACATACCATGTCAAGAAAAACATTCTTGACATGGACAAACTCTTCAGGGCAAAATTCCTTATACCAATTGAGCTTCATATAAGGATTGATAGCTACAAGGCATTATGGCAATTATAAGTGCAATCAGAACAAAAATCAAATGATAGATTCCTTACCCATTGCGAGGGTATACGCCAGAACATCTTTCATATGCTTCATATAATCCGTAAGCTTACTCAACCCTGCCTGAATTGCATGTGAAAGATGAGGATACTTCCACAAATCTTCTTCCCAAAGAGTCAATGCCACCTCAAATGAAGGAATTGCATCACATAGTGTTGGCGTCTTTTCAGCTGATAGCTGGTGCTGGAAATTATGAGAAACCTAATGTTGAATTAGCCAATGTTATTGACATTGGAGAGGGATAACACAGACACTTAGAACATCATTCATCCCTAATAACAAATCCCAGTCCTCTCTGGAGAGGTGATTGGTTCGAGCGAGGTCTTGGAATTTGTCAGAAGTGAGAAATGTTTCGATTGACTGATAAAAAAAGTTAGATATGTTCAATATTAACGGTGATAGATCATACCATTTAGAGAATCAATGCTCAATCGATCATCAGATGTGTAGATGACCATTGTGTGTCAGTATCCAAGATAACTTGCAACTCCTTCTGTAATATTTGCTTAACGACAGAGAGGAAATGTTCATGGTGTAGAGAAGAAGAGTGGATCTATTCGATAATGAGCTTTGACAAGATAAGAGATTAGTAATGTGGATACATACCGTCCAGATGAGTTGGTGTAAACGAGTAATAAGACCTCCCACTAAGCCCTCCAATTCCCCAATGGCATCTTTGCATGCAAGATTGATCACATGAGCAAAACACCTGGAGTGACAGAGTGAATAATGATGCAAAAATCATTCAACAGCATACCTAATTCTATTTTTCACCACATCAAATGATATATTTGGGAAACGGTGCTTCAACTCTCTAGCTAATGCAACCAGTAGTGTATCATTGTTTGTTGCATTATCTGTAGTAATCCATCCCATCTACAAGTAATGGAAAGCAATCAATGCCGCAGAAGCGAGAGTATAAGATGGCAAACCTTCTCTGTGATCTGTAACCGATCCAAAACAAAAATAAATGCCTGAGCCAGATGTTCACCAGTGTGCCTTCCTGGCACTCGAAGAAAGCTGACAAGAGCCGAGTGGAAGGTCAGCTGTTTTCTAGGGCCAACAGGCATGGAGATAGTCTTGCTCTGGACCCAATGTGCAGTGATCGCCATGAAGGAGCATTGACTTTGATCTGTCCACATGTTGGTTGTAAGAGAAATCCGTCCTTCAGAATTCTTGTGATAGATCAATGACATGCAAACCGAAGCCATTGCCCACTTACCTGCATTTCCAAAGCCAGGTCGGTGAGATATTGATCCAAGGACTGCAATATTCTCACACGTAGAGTATCAATGTGAGGAATATCTGAATCTTTGAGATCCTTTCTAGATACATGTGTTATCGTTAATGCTTTACTCTTGTAATCCGACATAAGAGAGGCTACCTCAGAAGTAGAATAAGATCACGAAAATAACGGTTTTCAATTATGTTCAAGGACTGGGGGCAACATTAAAGAGATTCTCAGAGAGAATGCAAGAAAGAGCAGCTCATCTGATCATCTGCAATGATGAACTTCATCAGTGCATCGACAAAGGTTTCACGGGAGAAATCTGGCCTTGGCACATTCTCAGATGGTGCTGCATCGAACAGATTTCCGCTGCTAGGCTGATTGTGTGCCTTTCAATATTCCTTGACTGTGTCTTGAGCATTCTTGGCCATAATCAGAACACCAAGTCCATCACATGCCACAATCCACTGTTCGCAGTGCTCTCTGATGAGGTGCTTATGCATAGAGTCAGTCCCATTGCCAGAGTATTGGTAGAATCCAACCGGCTTGCCTTCTTCAGTGAGTTTTCTAGAGGAATTGACATCAGTAAAGAAAATTGCACGAGAGGACCAGCGTACAGGCAGTAATGGCAGCAATATTTGTTCTCAATTTTCTGGAAGAAGGTCCAGACATTGTCTGCCCGGCGGGATAACTTGGTACCAGCAGTACAGCATGTTGGAGGCTGTCGGAAAAAGGATGAGCATGGTGTCGATGCAGGTCTGCTCACACCGGACTGGCAGGGTGTACGAGGATTCACTGTGTGTCGCCAGGATGGTGTTCATGGCATACAGCTCTCATGATCATGCGCAGGAGGAGGAGGAGGAGAAGGTGTGTCCAAGTCATCTGGCGGTACACCAGAAACATCGATAAATTCACCATCATCTTCGTCTTCACCTCCTGCTGCAGGCATGAAATGAACATGAGGCGCAGTCATATGAGTTGCTGCATCTCCAATGGGATTGGATACACGAGCCTCAACTATGCACACAGAAGGATCAATACCCAGCAATAAAACATATCCAGGGAACACACCATCGCTTGCTTGCAATTCTGTTGCACTATGAATGAGGATCCCTTGGGAGGAGATGTCATTGTGGCCGTTACTGCTGGTATGTTGCTCAGGTTGTGGATTAGGCCATCAATTGTTGCGGCGTGTTGTTTGAGTACGAGGTTCTGTGGATACACCATGAATGGGGAACAATACAAAGGAAAGTGACACTTATGTGGAGCGCCTGGGTCCTGAGTGACATCAACATTATTACGGCTCCGTCCTCACTGCTGGGGAGCAGCTTCACCCTCACCAACAGGTTCTAAGTGCACGATAAGAGCAATTGAGATCAAACAATGGAAAACGTATGAGGATTTTCTTGAAAGACAGACTGCATGGCACCATTTGGCATAGTAGTGCGAGTAATGTCATCGCTGTTTGTACATTCATGATGCCGCCATGCCATTGTTACAACAGAGGAAGATGGATGTTGAGAGGCGAGTGCTAGAAAACAGGTTAGGCTATTTAAACAGTCCACATCTCAAAACCAAGAGATTTTCCATTCTTACTGGGATGTTGATGAATTTGGGTGACTGAGGGAAATCGAGTTTGTAGAACGACATGCAAAAAGACTGTAACCATTCTATGAAATATGTCCAGCAGAATCAGACACAGAAACATAGCAACTACTTGATTAGCAGTCACCGACAAGTAAAAGAGAACCAAAATGCTGATCTTGAAGCAAGGATCTCAGTTAACATTTCACTGAAAAAATAGAAGCCTATCGCTGTGAAAATTATCCAGGCTGGGGAAATAAGGGTGCCAGGAAGAGGCTCTTGAGTCTTGATAGAGGGAGGAGTTCCATGTCAAAAGGGACCACAGAATGACAACAAGCGAAGCAGAACAAGACATTGATGGGACCAGCAACAAGCGAGCAAGGAACAGGACACATAGCTGTCCCAAAATGGTCAGAGCCAATAGCTTCGGCAACTTCACACCATGGAAAGCTGGTCAAAGTGGCCCAGACCATTCAGATTAGGCCAAGCCGTTAAGCAGCGTCAGCTCGGCTACATTCGGCATGGCTTGTGCAGCGCACGGCTTGAAGTTGCGCCTTAGAAACACTAGGGAGGGAGGCCATATAGGGAGATGATTACATAAATATCTAATGCTAGTATGGTATAGTGGTTAGCATGTGCACTTTGGCCATGTTATGTGACATGACTAAAATCTTTTTAAGGTCCTGGGTTCAATTCCTGGAGCTGCCGGATTTTCTAGTAATCACATGATTTGGTCTGGGTTTCTGTGCTGACTAATATGCCATGCAGTACTGTGAAATTACCCTATATAGGCTGGTTTGTCCACTGACACTCTGGATGCATGAATTAAATATGTCAACTAACACATTTCATACAGAATTCTAGCAGCCAAGGCTGCCGAAGGAAGGGCTCACCTAACAAGGGGGTCGTGACTTCCCTGACGACCAGGAGCAATGAGCCTAGCTCAGTCTCCATGACGAAATCTGCCAATTCTCCCATACTCGAGGGGTGGCTGAAGCCTTTCAAGGTAGACTGGACACTATGTGCCATTCAAGGAGCTTAAAACGACAACACTGCTAGAGCCGTGTTATTCGTGTGGATGCACAAGGACTAGATGAGAGAACTCACTGATGAACTCCTTTCTGAGTTGAGGAAGGGTGGAGAAATAGCCTGGGAGCAGCTCTACGAGCTCCATGAACCAGTCCGGTACATTTGACAGGTGCAGAGCAGTGATAGGGACTTCACGATAGACATTCAGCTGAATCCCTGCACAGGAACAAAGACTCTCATAACAAGAGGGCTGCTTGACAGCAGATGCACAGGCAGCACCATCAATTGTGCCTTCATACAGAAACATGAACTCAACACTAGGAAAGCGGCAGTACCCATTCCAGTCTACAACGCCAATGGCACCCGTAACAAAGCAGGTAACATCACCAAATTTGTGGAATTCCGAATGACTATCAGTAACCACAGTGAACGAATCGACCTTGCAGTCACTGACTTGAGAAACAGGGATCTGTACCTTGAACACAACTGGTTGAAACATCATAACCCGACAATCAACTGGAAGACAGGCACCATCCTTTTCAGACGATGCCAGTGTGTCAAGAATCCCTTCCCACTCCCTGATGCGGATCCTGTCGATCGCTGGGACAAAGAGCTCAAAGAAGGCGAAACGATTCTCACCATAAATATGGAAGAAGAATTGGTCATTTGGGTGGTACACCACGCTAATGACCTCGCCGCCGTGGCCAATGTGGAAAAGCTGAAGAAGACGTTTGAAGAGATGGTCTCTGAACACTACCAGTTGTTCCGAGATCTGTTCTCAAAGGAGAACTTCAACGAACTCCCAGATAGAAAGCCATGGGATCATGCCATTGAGCTCATTCCCAATGCCAAGTCGACCCTAGACTGCAAGGTCTACCCCTTGAACTGAGACGAGCAAGAGTAGCTCAACAAGTTCCTTGATGAAAATCTCGAATCAGGACAAATTTGTCCCTTGAAGTCCCTGTTTGCATCCCCCTTCTTCTTTGTCAAAAAGAAAGATGGCACCCTTTGGCCCATTCAGGACTACTGAAAACTGAATGAAATGACTATTAAGAACTGATATCCCCTTCTGCTCATCTTGGAACTCATCAACAAGCTCCAGGGAGCCAAGTACTTCACCAAACTGGACGTATGGTGGGGGTACAACAATGTGCGGATCAAGGAAGGAGATGAAGAAAAGGCGGCTTTCCACATGAACCATGGACTCTTTGAACCCACTGTCATGTTCTTCGGGCTCACAAATTTGCCTGCAACGTTCCAGTGGATGATGAACAACATCTTCAAGGACCTGATCACTGGAGGAAAGGTCACCATCTACCTTGACAACATCTTGATCTTCACCAAGGATCTCGATGAACACTGAAGGATTGTATGACGAGTTCTTCAACACCTATAAGAAAACAAGTTGTTCCTCAAGGCTGAGAAGTGCAGGTTCGAGGTACTAGAAACGGAGTACCTCAGAGTCATTATTAGTGAAGGATTAGTATGCATGGACCCGGTCAAGATAGCTGGGATAGTAGAATGGCTGACCCTGACAAAGAAGAAAGAGCTTCAGTCTTTCCTAGACTTCACAAACTTTTACTGAAAGTTCATCAAGGGATACTCAAAGATTGTTCAAGCCCTAACCCAGTTAACCAGGAACATGGAATGGACCTGGGGAGCTGCACAGAACCAGGCATTCCAGGAACTGAAGAAATGAATGGCGGAGGATATCATCCTTGCGAGTCTCAACCAGGAAGGACACTTCAAGGTGGAAGCAGACTCTAGTGATGGAGCCATTGGCACCATCCTAAGCCAACAACAGGATGGGAAGTGGCGACCAGTAGCTTTCATGTTGAAAGCTCTAACAGTGATGGAGCGCAATTACGAGATTTATGACAAGGAGCTCCTCACCATTATGCTTGCCCTTTCAGAATGGTGCCACTACCTGATGGGCACCCTTGAAGATGTCGAAATTTGGATGGATCACCAAAACCTCCAATATTTCTGAAAGCCCCAGAAGCTAAACCACCAACAAGCTCGATGGGTTACTGAGCTAGCCAAATACCACTTCGTCCTTCATCATCTACCAGGGATGTTGAACAAGAAAGCTGATCTCCTTAGTCGAAGAGACGATCATGACCAGGGCAAGAATGATAATGAAGAAGTCACTGTCCTCACCCCCAAACACTTCCGGCCACTCGTTATGCCCACCTCAACTGAAACTCATGAATGCATACAAAGTACCACCTGACAGAAGGAATTATGGGATCAGGGCATTGCTGCCTCCCTTGAACATGCCAGAGGGATCACCCAAAAGGATGGAATCCTCTACTACGACAACCGGATCTACGTACCCCGACATAAGGTGCTATGCAGGGAGATCATTGCTCAGAGCCACGATCACATCACTGCTGGGCACCCTGGAGTGGCCAAGACCCGAGAACTAGTGCTTAGGGAATACTGGTGGCCAAAGATGAAGAAGGATGTCGAAGCATACATCACCGGATGCAAGACTTGCCAACGAACCAAGACAAGTACCCAGGCAAAGGCAGCCCCACTCTACCCTAATGTGATCCCAACCGAACCATGGACCCATATCTCAGTAGATATGATCACCGGACTTCCAGAGTCAGGAGGGCATGATGCTCTACTCGTCATAGTAGACCGATTCTCGAAAGCAATCATCCCAGTTGTGTGTAATGTAGAGCTCTCAGTGGAAGGATGGGCCAGGATCCTCAGAGATCATGTTTACGCATGACATGGCATGCCATCAGTAGTCATCTCGGATCAAGGACCCCAATTTGTCTCCCAATTCATGAAGGAGCTTTATTGAATGCTCGACATTATGCAGAATGCCTCCACCGTGTTCCATCCCCAGACAGACAGACAGACAGAATGGGTCAACCAGGAAATTGAGAAGTACTTGAGAATCTTCATTAATCACTGGCAGGACAACTAGGTCGACTGGCTACCACTGGCCGAATTCGCCTATAACAACCAAATTCACTCCACCACTGGAAAAAGCCCATTCATGGTAATGTACAGCCATAACCCTCAAGTCCTACCCGACTCCCCACTGTCCAGAGTCTTTACAACCCCTGCTGCCTCTGAATTCTCCAAGGCAATGGCCAAGATCCATAAACAAGCAGAAACTGCGCTGGAGGAAGCAGCCAGGAGGATGAAGAAGCAGTACAACAAACAAAAAGGCAATTCCTGAGACTATGCTGTCAGGGATCGTGTATGGCTAGACGCAACCAACCTGCATCTTCCCTGCCCCAAGAAGAAACTTGACGACAAGTGAGTAGGACCATTCGAGATCCTCAAAAAGACTGGGGTGTCAGCATACAAACTCAGACTGCCACCTCATTGGAAGATCCACCCACGTTTCAATGAGAAACTCCTTATGCCATACATTCCCCCTGCATTTCCAAATCAGGAGCAACCTCCACCGCCTCCCCCCGATCTCATCAAAGATGAAGAACAATGGGAAATCGAGGAGGTACTAGACTTGAAACCATGAAAAGTCAGGGGAAAAAGAGGTCAACCGTCAAGGATGGTGATTGACTACTTCATCAAGTGGAAAGAATGGACCCGGGAACACAATTTGTGGGTACCTGAAACAGAGATGGGCAATGCACAAGAAGCGATCACCAACTACAAGAAGAAGATCCAACATGCAGGCTGGGTAGACATAGCAAAAATTGCAACGAACCCCGATCATGCACTTGCCATGATCATTGACCATGAATATCTTGACAATGGCGATGTGCAATATCTCGCACAAAGAAATGACAGCACCCAGAAATAGGTCAAGAATCCCAACGAAAACCTATGGAAAGAGTTTCTCGATGAGTACTGGGCCAGCCAACTCGAAGCACAGTATGACTCACCACTGGAAGAACCATAGGCAGTCAGGACACCTGCCTTAACAAGGGGGTAATGTTATGATTTTTCCATTTTTCTTATCTTATCTCATCAGTGCCTATCTAATCTCATTGTATCTATAGCACCTACTCAATTATCATGGACATCAGACTGGTCGCCACGATGTTTCCAGGCAACTTCAGCCCTTGTGCTATGGCTTGCAATGGTTGCTCACCTAGCTTGTTGTTTTCATTGTTTCACGCATAGCAACCGCACAGATGACATGTATTCTTCTCTATTATTAGTACTCATACTTTCATATATAAGTAGCATAGTTCTCACTGTAGTATCCTCAGCTTCAAACTAAAGTTTATTTATACCACACTCTCTTCCACAACAACTAAGATGCTAGATGCCTAAGCTCAGCCGGAGACTTACTATGCAGTGCCCTGGGTGATTGTATGAATGCAATACAGCCCTCAGTTTACTCCTGTTTGTCATCCCTGAGTCCAGGTCCAACAGCTACTAGTGTGATTGAGGAAGGAGCTAGCCATATGGCCAGTACAGCCATTTCAAGCTCAGCTTGAAAATTGTATTGAATTGAACCTAAGTCTGACTTCTATAAAATTTTGCCTGCTTTCACCCTCTTCATCAACTATTCTGCCATCACATTCACTAGTAGCTCCCTCTTCTTACTGATGAAGCTTAATGACTTTGCTGCAGGGGTCAACTAACTCCATCCTCTTCTGAATCCTGACAAGCCTGGTCAATATTGACCCAAAGAACTTGCTCAGTACCTAAAGAAGAACACCTCCTTCCTAATAAGCAAATCC